TTCTAATTAAATATGTAGAAAGTTTAATGATTTACGAATGTGAACGCAAATAAAAATATACTTTACTGTATTAATACTCGTATAACGTTATAGTTTTATATTGAAATCAATACAGTTGTAAGTTAAATAATAATTTTTAAATAATATCTAATTAAATATGTAGAAAGTTTAATGATTTACGAATGTGAACGCAAATAAAAATATACTTTACTGTGTTAATACTCGTGTAACGTTATAATTTTATATAGAAATCAATTTTCTATCCTTTTTTTTTTTGTTTCTTTGCTTTTTATGAATCACATAAGATAAAAATCGGCATAGTATTTGACCATTTATCAAACGAAAAGAAAAAGTAAAATTATTATTCGATCTTTCACGATCTAACCGAATAAACCAACGTTAGTTGTTGCAACAACAACAAAAAAAGTAAACAAGAGTAGAATTATAATCGCGAATAGTATTAAAACTCGTTCATGGAAAATATTTGTCAAGTTTTATCCTAGTACCCTCCTCATCCCTTACCTTACCCCTCCACCATCCCACTAGAAAACTGACGACGCGTGGAAACCCATTTAATGCACGATTACGTTCTTCCCATCGAATGGTGATGGTGGTGTTAGTAAATATACCTTACATCCATGTGCATTTTTTTTTTTTCAATAAATCCGAATAAAATTCTTTAACGTCATACATTATTTATCTTCAAAAATTCAAAGAAATCGATCCTCCCCCGATTGACACAAGCAAAGAGAACCAAACCAATGGAAGAAAAGAGAAAGAATAAAAAAATAAAATAAAATACAAAATAAAAAAAAGGTTTATGAAATTCAACAGGAGGGGGGGGGGGTTGGTCGACCGGATGATAAGCACGCGGGTTAAGTCAAGAAGAAAGATGAATAGAAACGTAAACGAGTACGAAGAACGTGGGCGATCTCGTAAAATAGAAAAAGAGAAAGAGAAAGAACACGAGAGAGAAAGATAGATAGATAGATAGATAGATAAATAGATAGAAAGAAAGAGAAGGAAAGAGATATACGATACACGGAAGAAGAAGGATAGAAAATGGATCGTGAATGATTCGACGTTAGATAGAAAGAGAAAGAGAACTAGTGAACGAAATAAAATGAATAAGAGAGAGAGAGAGAGAGAGAACAAGATAGATAGATAGATGAATAGAAAGAGAGAGAAAGAGGGTTTGAAGAAAGAGAAAGAAAGAGAAAGAAAGATTCCACTACTACCGGTGGAAAAATATAACCTGTTGGAACGTAAAAGAGTGAGAAAGACACACAGATAAAGAGAGAGAGAGAGAGAGAGAGAGAGAGAGAGAGAGAGAGAGAAATGCGCGGGCGCACAACGAAGAGAAAGAGTAAAAGAGAGAGAGAGAGAGAGAGATAATGGACCGAAAGGAAGAGGATGAAAGAGAGATAGATAGATACATAGATAGAGATAGATATAGAGAAAGAGAAAGAGAAAGGTTCGGAGAATAATAGTGGGGGAAGATGAAGAGAAAAAGAGAGAGACATTCTTCGTGAGGGACTGCGATGGAAAAAGGGTGAAAGATAGAAAGAGAATGAGAGAGAGAGAGAGAGAGAGAGAGAGAAAGAGAACGTGGCAGGCAGGTCCCGAACCTACCTCAACTCTAAACTCAACTTTCCTGACTCGATTTCAATCGGATCGATTTCTTTCGATTCCCGTGCGACTTTAAAATACAACGACCAATCAGAAATTGGTTAAAAAAGTATTTTACATGGTGTGTTTGTATATATATATATATATATAT